CTCTCTCTCTCTCTCTCTCTCTCTCTCTCTCTCTCTCTCTCTCTCCTACAAAAAGTTCAAACCCTACAAGTCATTGCAAATGATACAACTGCTTTTATACATTCAAGTGATTTAGACCTACATGTACATGTATAAACATATTTGCATTAACGCTTTTTTCTACTGGTATAAAATAAAATTCTCTATCGAGACTGCTTTTCTCCTGGTTTGTATTTAGAACAAAGGAGAAAATAGCAGTTGGGCTTGAAATGTTACAACAGCAATAATTAAAACATTGACCTTATCAATTACGCTACGACTTAATGTAAAAAATGGATTTAAAAACAATTAATTTGTAGAAATCGATGGAACAATCAGTTCACCTGTTGTATCGAGGAGCTGCGATGTGTATATAACTTGTGTATCTTTTATATATTCTATGTTAGTTGCGCGGATTTTGGGGACAGACTGATTTATTACACATCCCCTATCGGGATGATGACAATTATTAGCGACGGCCACCTGTTCCCACAGCAGGCATTTCAACGTTGAATCAACGTTGAATTTTGGTTGCATATGAAAGTTGAGTCAACGTTGAGACATAACGTTGTTTCAACGTCAATTTTCAACGTTGAATAAACTATGAAAATGGGTTGAATTTTTGGTTGATTTATGGTTGATTTTTGGTTGCAAATGAAAGTTGAGGCAACGTTGAAGCTTCAACGTTGTTTCAACGTCAAATATCAACATTGAACAAAAGTGAACATTGGTTGAAATTAGGTTGAGATTTGGTTGAAATTTTTGGTTGTACAAACGTTGATATTTGGTTGAAATCACGTTGAATTCATATTACATTTTGCTTCATAAACAAATACATTTCAAATTCTGATAAAAAGAAATATTCAAGTTGCATAATATTTAGATAAGTTGTAATTCAGTATTATGATTGTTAGAGAATTTATTTTACATTTTTTTTAAGACAAACACAAATTCGGATTCAATCACTCAATCTCAAAAATCACTGCTTTACAAAATTTATATTCCTGTTAAAAAGCGGGTCACAGTAATCACATTCAGGTCCTTCAAAGTACGTGTCTGTCATACACTACTAAGTTCCACAAAGTGGCGGATCCATTGATTTTAATCACGCATATAGTTAAGTCCCACGAATGAAAGAAATGAACAGGAGAATCCACCCTCTAAAGCAAAAGCCTATTGATAAAAGAAATAAAGATGTTAAGTCATTTGTTCGATAAAATGTACGTAACACGTTATTTCAAACGATAAAAATAAATATACATGAATGATTTAAAAAAATCAGACAAAGGAATATATTCCGGTACTTGGATTTAATTAACATGATCAAAAGAATTATAGTTGATTTCATGTTAAAATTCGTATGAGTATGCTTATAAATAATTATTACTAAAGAAATATGTTATAGACATACATATACATAGTGTACTTACAAAATGTTGCATTCCTTTGTATAATTTTCACGGGCGAAGAATCTGATGCATTCAAGGCTGACTATACAATCAATTCCCTGCACCACTGATTGATTTAACCTTACGACGAACTACAATTAGTTAAATTGTATAATATATTACTATACTAGCTTACATTTCATAACCAAATGAATATCAACAAAACACATATAATACAAGAACCAAGGATGTGCATTTCACGCAGATTTTAAATATACTTATAAAACAAGAATTAAATGATGAACAGATACTAAAAAAACTTAATTTCTTAAATTCATGAAAAGGAAATAATACTTACTGAGAAGAAGTTGATATTCCAGCCTTAATCCTTTTGTATATAGCTTGAAAACACTTAAGGAATGTTTTTTAGTTTTGTGTGAGTTATTGGTGTGTGAATCACACGGACTTGTCACGTAGGCATATTTCATGAAGCGCGCTAGCGCTTCATGAAAAATATTCCTATGTGCAAGTCTGTGTGATTCACACACCGATATTTACATTTCCAATGTCTTTGTCCGAGATAAAATTACCAATTGTAAATGTAATTGATTTCCTCATGAATGTTTTGGCGCGGTTCCAAAAAAAACACGTGCAAGGCGGGACAACACCTAGAGAAAAGCAGGCTTGGAGCCCGTGGATTGGCGGAATCAAAGCATGTAAATATAAGGAATAACTGTCTTATTTTTCGAATTCATGAAGATGATCAATGGATTGGCTTGTGTGATAATTTTATGCATAAACGCCTTCGGCGTTTATGCAAATTATCACACAAGCCAAACCATTGATCACTTCATGAATTCGAAAAATAAGACAGTTATTTCTTAAAAAATTCACACTAAACTGAAAAACATTCCTTATATTTACATTTTACCTGTTTGGAGGCAACTAAAGTATACTCAATATTTGAATTTCTCGATGTCCTATATTATTACATTTTACTAACGTTGCTGCAGTCTCATTGTGACGTCACGTTAACGCACGTTTCTCCGTGTATATTTCTACGCGTGAGTATACACGAAAATGTTTTTCAAATCAACTTCACAGTAAGCTTACTAGAAAAACACAGTGATTGTAAATATATTAAATATGAACAGCAAGGAGAAGCGCACTTCTTGTCCATCAGTTGAATTCAAATTTTGACCTAGATAAGCTGCAAACAGCTATACTCTGCCCAGCAAGAAAATTGCATAACAAGGTTATCCTGACACTGAAACTGACCAACTAAGCGAGAGACACTCCTTATTTGATATTTCGAAGGTTTTTGGGTAGTGGATCTTAAGTAATGCAACTTGACCGGGGTTAATTGTCAGTGGGAAAATTCTTATAATTCTTTTTGAATTTTTTTTATATTTTGTGAAAAAGAAAGATTATATAATTAATACACACAACAAAAGCACAATCTGATAAAATAAGACTTCTTAGATTCGCTCTGTATACGTATAATCTCTGCAAGAGTATATGGCACGGATTCATAGGAGTCTAATTTTAAGAACATTGATTCGGAATAATTATTTTTATTAATTCTATAGTAACATGGAGTTACAGTGAAATGTTGGCTAAAGATGTTATTATTTTTTAAAAGCTTATATTTAACGTATTTCATAAATATGTCAAAAAATAGCATTTACAATTTATTTTAAAAAATAACTTTTTTGAAACATAATTATAATGAAGTGTTAAATGTAGATACCATGCTTTTTATTATTAACTCATATTTAAAATCTTATAATGGTACTAGCTATTGGCACAACTCTTTTGAGTGAATCAATTTATAATGCATGCGTTTCATTTATTAAGTATAATTATTATTATATATAATATTTTATAACAATGCAAACAGCTGTGTGTATATTGCGAAAAATCGCATGGATTAGAAGTAAAAGACACCTTAATATTTTGAACTTAAAAAATAAAGTGCTCAATACTCGTTACCCGTTGTTTCAACGTTAAATTTTCCTAACTTCTCTAAAGTTGAAAATATGTTGCATCTTCCACGTTGTTTCAACGTTGAAATCAAGAGACAGTCAACTTTGCATTTTTAAACCTTGTTTTAACTCTACATAATCAGGAAATACTCAACGTTGAAAACATGTTGAATCTTCAACGTTGTTTCAACGTTGAATATCAACGAGCATTCAACATTGAAAATATGTTGCAGCTTCAACATTGTTTCTACGTTGAAATATCAACGAACATCAAAAGTTGAGAATATGATGCAGCTTCAACGTTGTTTCAACGTTGAAATATCGACGAACATTCAACGTTGAAAATATGTTGCAGCCTCAACGTTGTTTCAACGTTGAAATATCGACGAACATTCAACGTTGAAAATATGTTGCAGCTTCAAGGTTGTTTCAACGTTGAAAAAAAGGTTGAGAATTCAACGTTGAAACAACGTTGCAACCTATATTCCACCTCCTTTCAACGTTGAAACAACGTTGCGTGCCTGCTGGATCCTATGTCAGAGATTTGAGATTGTTGTGAATTCTCTATCTAGAATAATTTTAAAACTGTGCGTACATTACTAATTGTATCATTTAAAAGCTTAAAATCTACAATATTTAGTTTTTTTTTCTACAAGATGCATGTATAAATGATTTATTCTATTCATGCAAAAAAACCAAAACGATGTCTTTCGAAACTTAAAATAAATAACCTGCGGTTTTGACAATTAAGAAACCAAATTTATAATATTAGGCTCCTTCCGGAAAAGGTGTAAGTAATATAAATTCTGTCTCATCATTTAAAACTAAATATTTTCATGAAAAAAATACATGTATAAGCACTATAGAATGTGTTATACGACATTTATTTTAAATTTTGATTCGACTCTCAGATCATCATTTTTTATCACTTGAAAAATTTTTGTTTCCTTTATCTAATCAGAAAATTAAAAAAATGAATCAGTATCATTTATTTTATAACATTATAATAATTATTTGACATATCCTTTAAGATACCCTAATTTAATCACGATAAGAAAAAGAGACAAAATTAAGATTGAATAATAAATCTTTATTCGAAATATTGCTTCCGGAAAATATCTGATTATAAATTAATTAGCTAGTGAAAAAAAATCGCTAAATTGATACTAAAATGTCACTGAAAAGTGACGGAAAGGTAACTGAAAGACGACAAAAAGGTCACTGTAAGTCGACGGAAAGGTCACTGAAAGTTGACTGAAATGTGTCCGCTGAATGGTGACTGAAAGGTACCTGAAATGTAACTGAAAGGCACCTGAAAGGTCAGTGAAATGTATGTGCCATTCAGTGGCTAAATGGTCACTGAAAATTCACTGAAAGGCCTTGTTTCTTCCTATGTATTGAAATTAACCAGTATGTATCCCATTTAAATACTTTATAAATTAAACGTTTCTTTATGCAATAATATTATGTTGGCTAAAATTTTTTAATTCCTCTGCTTTAGATAAAATGTAGTTGGTTTGAAATTCTTTTAAAAGATAAGAATAAATAAATACATGTATGTTTTTTGCATTATTCTGTCTGACTTACATTTATTATGGTTTCTTTTTATCTGAAAAACTGGTGATGAGTTGCTACCTCTTTCTTGCAAACTGCTTCCAAGATGTAAGCTAATGGTAGTTTTCACAACTGTTGAATCTATCACATAAATAAAATACATAAATCAAACACATCGCGTTTTTTATCATATCAGATGGGCATCTTTTGGACACCTGAATATGAATACATGTATATTTCGTTTTAAAACTTTAAAAATGTCAAGTTGAGACATTTCATACTTGTACACTAAAAGAATTTTTAAAAAATGCCATGAGTTTTAGATAATTACTGCATTGTCATTTTTAGACACTATTATTTGATATTGATAGACATTTATTTTAATTGTAATATATGTAATTTACTGTTATTTTCATAGAATTTCCTGTGCATATTTAACATCATTTTAGACTAAATACAGATGCCAATTTTTTCTAGATAAATTATATTTTCAGATATGCTTTTCTTATGTGAAAAATGATACACATCAAAAATGCATTTAAGTTGATCACTAACCCGTCATATCATCTCCGAATACACAACCTTGAAATTTGTCGCAAGAATTATTAGAACAATTGCATATTTCGCCGCATGCTAAACCGTACCGCGGATACTCACAAGCTACATAAAGATAAAATTGAATAACAGCTACATTAAGTAATTCATTCCAATAGATAGGGATACTTTTATTCACAATTGAAAAGACTTGATTAAATAACACTTACGTGAACAAATATTTCTTGTTTCATCAAACCAAAATCCTCTGCAGCATTTTAATGGGCTAAAAACACAAGCTTTAAATTAACGTTTCTGTTCTCTAAAGTTAAAATGCATATTTCTAGACTATTTCAAAAAGGGAAACAATGTTGATGTGATAAAAACCGATATTCAAAGTGTGTTCTCTTTCTAAAAAAAACAAGATAATACTATGTCATTCAGTTAACTGAAAGTTTAGAAGAATTACTGGATGGTGACTGAAAGAAAGAGCTCTGACAGAAGGTCAGTTTCCCAAACCTTTATGTGACTATTCATGGACTGAATAGCATAGTTTGCTTCTGGGAAAAAGTTTGATGGATATATCCTTGAATTGCTGTAATCAATCTTTGTTTAAGGAATGAATTTCATAGCTACGAAGTTATACTGTATAACATGGGTTGGAACAGTTTACAATTTATAAACCGAGAAGCGTTTTGGATAATAGCAAAAACTATTTCAACCCATGTTATACCAGGACTACTTGGGTAGTTATCAAATTCATTTTTTTATAATTTAATTCTCATAATCGGTGTAGACAAAGTGACAATTTTTCCTGCAAAAATGAATTGAATTGAGCATCTTATGAAAGTAACGTTAAGTTCACGAATAAGCTTTTGATGTAACTCATTGTGAGGTAGGCTAGTTATATTTTCTAATATAACCTTAATCTTTCATCAAGTAAAATAAAAACAAAATTTAATAATTTTAATACAGACGGAAGTTATCTTGGAGAAAAATAGCTTTGTTACTGAATTCAATAAAAATTCAGCCTTATAAACAAAAGGTCAAACATATTAATTCTAGATTTCTGAATTGGAAAGTTGAAATTCTGTTGAAAAGGACGTAACATGTAAGAGTAATCTAACAACCAAGCTCTATGATAAACGTGAGGTCTTTTCAATGGTTAACTTCCCTTACTTCCCCTACTTATGCAGCAACATACCTTCATCACCTGCATGCATACGAACTTTATTTATCTCTTTTGATTTGATACACAGGAGAATGCTCTACGTATGAACAATTTCTGAATCCAGGTAAATTATTGACAAGCAAACTATCATTTTAATTATGAAATAATAATCTTGTTAAAAGAAGAATCCCGAAATTACCGTCGTGTTTTCAAATACTGCTTTAGAAAACGTTGTTGGCGTTCGTGTCCATTGAAGCATTTGAAGCAAAATTTTATAATATGACTTCCAAACGGATAACATGAAAAAAGGACAAGTTTCAATTTCAAAACGTTAATTTTATGTACATGTACTAATAAAACTACGAAAAAAAAATTATATCGGTAACTTTAAATATCATTATAATTTTTTGTCTCTCTCTTTTCTTCTTTTCATACATCGTATGACTATCCCTTTTTGAATAGTATTCCAAAGGAGAGAGTATTTAATATTTGTTGAAAGGAAGCCTTTTTGGCGACTTTATTTAACATTAAACTGACATATGTATATAAAAGAGAATTTGAACACAACTTTGAACAGATCTGCAATCTTTGTTGTCTGGACAATTACACGGTCCAAGATAGCTTGAAGGATTCATCCCTGATCCCCCCGCTTGAATTGATAATCTATCCCAGACTTTCTTACTAATAGAAATCGAAATATGGTTCTATGATTTGAACCAAGAAAAAGAATTCGGTCATTCTTCAGTCTTAAAACGTGATACTGTAATTAGATATATGTATGATTATTTTGCTTGATGCTACATCTAATAGCTTTTGGTACATACCCTATGCATCGACCATTTTGTCCATCTATGAAATAAATCCAGAGGAATTGCATAAAAAATGTCTTAGCCGAAAATATAATATTATGCATGTTCTTAATTATGATGAACAGTTCAGAAAATAAATACAAATGTGATAGAATGTCATTTTTATACACATACGTAATTGATTAATATCCATTTACAAACACATTTTCTTCCTCATTTCATGTTTCCTGGTATAAATTAAATTGTGTGTTCGTGTTCACAAACTTTTAAATGGAATGTTCATGGTATTCTTTATAAAAAAAAATTATAGATATTTTGGATATAGAGATTCTTTCGCATGGGATTATTTTCATGTTTTTATCCCATGATTCCCACTATTGTTGATGTCCCTGGCATAGCCTCCTACATGTAACTAGACAGTGATTCCTTATATTTCCATTTTTACTTCAAAAAATAAAAAATTTTGAAATAAATCAGAAAGCCGTCTAATTTAGTAGATTTGAAATACATGAGGCATTCCATGTTATTTTTCATAGCCCCGCCCCATGACGTCAAATTTTACTATAAAAAAAAAATAGGCCCGTAAAACACAAGCCAAATTTTATAATTTTATCTCATAAAACTGAAGTAAGGTATAATGATGTATTCTCCCTGGCTTCCGGTAATCCCAGCCTATTTAAAGAAAGAGATCTCGCGAGATCTTCCTTCTTCCGTTTGGCTTCATGGATATAGCAGACGAAATTTGTTTATCTATTCTTATCTACTTTAATCCTTGTGGATTTTGCGTTTAACCTTAGTATTTTTACTTACTTTGGTGCAGCCTTTTGTTTTGGACATGGATAGTCCTGTTTGTAGCCCAGATGGGGCAGATGTGGGCCAAGATGGCAATTCTGCAAATCATGCAGATAAAAAACTCTTGTATGGCCAAGATGGCGACCCCAAAAAGTGGGGAAGTTATAGCATCCCTAAGAAAAGACTGAAAAAGGGAGCGATAGACAAAGATCGTTATGAAAACGACAGTGATTCGTCCGATCCTTATGAAGATGATAGTTCATCAGAAGAGGATGGCGAAATTAACGATTTCACTTACAAGTCGCCATTGACACAGTCGCATAGCCGTGACGAGCCACAGGCTGATTCTGGCGATGAACTAGACGCTAAGCGTTTTGATCCGCTCAGTGATGAGACGGAATACATGCTTGATAAAAGTAAAGCAAAATATGCCAAGAAGTATTTCAAACTTCATTTATCTGAGGAGAAAATTCGCTCCCGCATTTTAGAGGACGCGCCTATACCAGGCAACCAATTTTTGAATCCGCCGGATGTCGACGATTACCTCGAGGACTTGGTGGCGGATCACAAGTCTATGAAGTTCTTTAAAATGCACGATTCTTCACTGAAATTTGTACAGAAAAGAGTTTCTCAGTGCATGGGACCCTTATCTAGAATTTGGGACGAAATGGACAAAGCTCATGAGGGCACTACGTCTAGTATGGAAATCGAGGAAGTGGTGAACTTGTTGGAAAAAACTATACTCATGATTGGTCAAGTGAATGTTGCGTGCCTTTACGAACGAAGACTGAATTTCCTCGCCAAAATTCTCAAAAGTACCAAGAAAGCAAAGAGCATGTTGCGTGAAAACGAGACAAAATTTCAAGACGAGTCGGTCTTGTTTGGGAACGACAGGAAGTCGAAAGACAGAAAGCGTGCACGAGAGATGTCGAGGGACATCGCCAGACCTGTCAACAAGAAACCAAGACAGAGTGTTGACCAGCCCTTTCGGCAGGGACCCTCTGGTGATCAGAGAAAGTCCAGAGGGTCGAGCTACTCAAGAGGCACCGGCAGAGGCGCCATTACAAAGAAACAGAGGTATGTCTAGTTTGTCAATGACGTCACATGTAAACATACCGATAGTAGTAGAACAGATGTCAAAAGTTCTGAGGGATCATCACAATCTCCACCCAGGTGTAGAAAAATTAAAATTAAGAGAGATTATACAAAATCATATCCCCTCGCGGGGCAGACTAAAGCATTTTGTTTCAAATTGGGAAAAGATTACAAAAGACACTTCAGTCTTGACAGAATTAGAAGGGTACAAAATAGATTTCTTAAAAACACCCAGTCAAACATCTGTCCCAAAAATAAATTATTCAGAGAAAGAATTTCAAATTCTAGATGCAGAAATTCAAGAGATGTTACAAAAAAGAGCGGTGGAGATTGTAGACCCCAAGAACATAGTTCAAGATCAATTCATAAGCACTTTGTTTGTACGCCCCAAAAAAGATGGGGGGTCACGTCCCATTTTCAATCTAAAACGACTAAACGAATTTGTGACTTACGAACATTTCAAAATGGAAGGTTTCCAAGTAGTGAAAAACATGATGATAAAAAACGACTTCATGTGCAAAATAGATCTGAAGGATGCATACTTTTGCATTCCAATACACCAAGCTCACAGAAAATACCTGAGATTCAGTTGGGGGGGACAACTCCTACAGTACACGAGTCTTCCTTTCGGATTGGCAGCCGGTCCCCGTCTGTTCACAAAAGTTATGAAACCTATCATAGCATTTCTGCGCAGAATGGGGATTCGACTGGTAATCTACCTGGACGACATTCTACTGCTGAATCAAACCAAAGAAGGGATGATGAAGGACAGAGTTTCCCTTATTTGGTTATTACACAACCTGGGGTGGTTGATAAACTGGAAGAAATCAGTGCTAGAACCAAAACAAATGATAGAATTTTTGGGTCTAAAAGTGGATTCAGTAGAAATAAGTGTTTATTTACCTCAGGACAAAATTCAGAACATAAAAATGAAATGCCAAAATGCATTAGGATCCAACCACATTACAATCCAAGAATTGGCAAGTTTAGTTGGATCATTGAATGCAACAGTAGAGGCAGTAATTCCAGCCTCACTTTATGTCAGGGAATTACAAATGTACAAAACGAAATGTCTTGTCAAAGAAAACAGTTACAAGAACAAAATCACACTATCCCAGGAATGTAAAACAGAAATTTCTTGGTGGATCCAACAGTCAGAGGTTTGGAATGGGAAACAAATAATAACCAAAGAACCAGATCTTGGATAGAGACAGATGCATCCACAATGGGATGGGGGTTCAATTGCCCTTTTTCACAGGAAAAAATGGGGGGTCCATGGAGCCCGATAGAGAAAAAACTCCACATAAATGCCTTAGAACTAAAAGCTGCAAATATTGCTGTAAGATCAATGACAAAGAACAAGGTAAATGTACACATTCATCTGAGGATGGACAATGTAACTGCGGTTACTTATGTGAAC